GGTACTTATTAAGACTATAGTAATAATAATATTGACATTAAATTTTGTTAAATGGGCGCTTATAAATATTTTGTTTGTATTTGGACAATTTACTTGAGGGGCCAGGTGTTTTATATTCCTTTGAAATAGCCAGGCAGCCTGTATTCACATATAATGTTGGATTTGAAAGCAAGCCAAAAGTGTTATCAACTCAGCCTTGAACAGAGACACAGTGAAGTTTCAGGGCTTGGATTCTTAAAACAATGATTTGTTTTCTTAAAGAGTAAATTTAACCTTAAGGATTGAATGTATAGATTTCATTCTTTTATACAGTTAACCAGTTAAGTGTCAATAGAATTCCTTATTTTCCTTTTGCAGATTTAACAAAAGTGTCTGTAGCCAAATAGTTAAATTTGATTGTTTCTTTGCCTGGATTATTGAAAAAGGCTGAAAGAAATAAGGAGTCACTTTTTAAAGCAGGTTTCCCTTCATATATTACAATCGCTTAATTCCTTCTACGCCTTATTTTCCTTTTGCAGATTTAACAAAAGTGTCTGTAGCCAAATAGTTAAATTTGATTGTTTCTTTGCCTGGATTATTGAAAAAGGCTGCAAGAAACAAGGAGTCACTTTTTAAAGCAGGTTTCCCTTCATATATTACAATAATCGCTTAATTCCTTCTTATGATCTGTCCTGATTCCTGCTAAATAACCTTTTTTTATCAATGACACAGGTTTGTCCAGTATTAATGTGGTAAGGAGGGTGGGCTTTCCCATTAGCCCCCACACCTCCTAATTCTTTTCAATAGGTAAATCCAAATATGTATTATTGCAGTCAGCTATTACTAATTTTGAACTTCTCAGTAATCTAGTGATTACATCTTCAAATTCACTTTTAGGTTACCTCCTCCCACTAGTTGACTTTTAGGGTGGCTTTTTTTTTCTGGACGGCCCCCAATTGTTCATTGTGAAACATCCTTGGGTAGCCTGGAATTCCAGCCAGAGAGGCTGTAGTTATCTATTCTCTAACAAGGGCTTGAGAATCTCCTAAAGTTGCTTGGCAGCCCTTTCCTACTCCTGCGTTGTGTTCCGTGTATATGTTTCCAACCAAAATGCCTAGGGTCAATATGGCTTGATGGTAGGCGGGCATTCCTTCCTTGAGAATTTGGAGGAATACTTCCCACAAGCTGTTAAGTCTATTCCAAAACTCAGTGTTTTGCTTTGGATCGGACAAATTTGTAACTAGAGCCCGTTCTTCCAAAGGGAAGATCTGACACCTTTCAATTATCTTCTGTGCCTCCTCTCTATCTTCAGTAATGTGTGGTAAGGGCCCATATAGGGCTGGGCATAGAGAGGAGTAGAGGGGGTAATGTTGGGTCAAATTCCCCCCTAAGCTTGGGAGAGGCTGGGCACTTGCATGTAAGTTACATTTCTCACTGCAGGGTGGATTTTTGCTTTTTTGAGCTTCAATCTCATCCCTCAGGGCTTTAATTTCTTTCTCTGTCAATCTGTCAAATGCTTACAGGTCCTTGGACCATGATGCACGTACATGTAGTACGCAGGGGTGCCTTTTGGCGGTGTGAGGGGTATGCTTAGACTGACCCCATCCATTTTCGTCATTCAGGGGAGCATCCTGTCCACTCCCCGTCTGTTCAGTGGCTTATAGGAAACTAAATCTACACACTCCAAAGAAGGGGTCTGCTGGGTCTAGAGTGTCAGACCTTATCAGCAGCTCATGAAATCTCTGAGGGGGTCAGAGGGAGGACTGCCCGTATGCTGTCTGCTTCGTTGGGCTCACGCCATCTGAACTTCTTGAATCTGCAGCAAGGTCAGACGCAAATAACTTCCTCTGGCTACTTGTTGCTTAAACACAATGCAGAGTGAAGGCTTGTTTTCTTCCACACCATCTAGCAGGGAAGTTTTCCCCTCATCCAGCAGGGCCTTTCCTTACCCCACCCCTATCTGACAGGGACTTTTTCTCCCTCTTTTCCCCTGTCAAGCAGGATCTTCTATCTTTATTGCATACAGAAGGGCTCCCACCTCCCCTCCCTACCCATCTGACAGGGCATTCTCCCCCTCCAGCTGGCTGGCTGGGCTTATTCTTCCCTCTCATCCAGCAGGGACCATTTCTTCACCACCCATCCTGTGGTGCCTTCTCCTCCCTGCATCCGGTGGGGCTTTTTTTCCCCTACTGTATAGCTCTCCCCTGGGCTCACTGCCTCTTCTGAACAGCTCCCTCCCTTTTTTGGGTCTGCACATCCTAAACTCAAAACTCCAGTCATCTGAAGAAGTGGGCTGTGCCCATGAAAGCTCATGATACCATCTACATGTTTTGTTAGTCTATAAAGTGCTACCAGACCATTTGTTGTTTTTTAAGTTTATCCTGTACAGACTAACTTGGCTACCCCCTGAAGTTCCCTTTCCATGTCATAGAAAACAATCCCATTCCATGCACTTCCTGTTTTCCTAGCAGAACCAAACTCTGACCTTGCTATAAGTTAGAAGAAGAGGAAGGTGAATACCAAATTTGGTGATTCCAGCTCTTACCATTTAGGAGGAGTTCTTGAACAAACAAACTCAGAGACAGACAGACAGATGCACATTTCTAAAATATATAGATTTTCAGTGAGGCAACATAGCAAATAAAAATGGATTGATGTTACTGGTCCTAAAGGTATGCATTTATTGATGAGCTGAAATAGAAATATATAACATTAATCAGATTAAGTTTTAATTGACTCGATCAATGTGAAAAGGTTATAACTATGCAAAAAATAGCTAGAAAAGGCTCCTAATGTTTGAATTTGAACGAGAAAGAAGGATACTATGGTATTGTAATTTTGGTAACATTTGACAGAAAGACTCTTGTTCCTTCCTAGAACTTCTAGCGTGTCTTAGTAATTTAAAAAAGCACATTACTAAGGGTATATTGACACTGCAGCTGGGAGAGAGCCTAGCAGTTCAGATACCCAAACGCATACTAGCTCTGTATCAAGCTAACATATCAAATATGCAGGGTGTGTGTGAAGGGTGTAAACGTACTCCTCATGGACCCTCAAGTAAGCATGCTTCGGCTGGCAGGAGCGGCATGCTGCCAAAGCCTCCCTCCCAATGCTCTAGCTGTCCAGGAGAAGGCTGGGGCTGATTTTCCCCCCTTTCTCTCTCTGGAGCGAGGCCTAGCCCCACCCCCAGCCTTACTCCTGGAGGAGGGAGGAAATCAGCTCCAACCTTCCACCAGCCAGCCAGCCAGAGCACACTTACTTGGGGGACCATGGAGAAGGGGGGGGGGGGCGAGAGGTACATTCACACCCCTGTGGTCCACATTTACAAAAAAAGCACACACACACCCCAGTGATAGAAATGTAGCCGTGTTTTTCTTCCACTATTTGATCTGAGGAAGTGGGTCTGGCCCACGAAAGCTCATCACCTAATAAACCATCTTGTTAGTCTTTAAAGTGCTACATTGTCCTGCATTTTGCTTCACACACACCCCAGAAATTCCTGCTTGTAGGCCTGCTGCATAACATGCATTTACCTACAATATCCTCAGTATTTCATCTGAGAATTGGAAAGATTAATATATTTTTAAACAGAGCAGCAAGGTGAAATAGACATTCATTGAGAAATGTATATTTCCTGAATCAAGTAGGTGAAATCATTCAAAATCATACATTTTAATGACAAAATTCTTCATTAACAGAAACAAAACATTTGTATATTAGGTGTTGGAAAGACTTATAAGTTTCAGAAAAAAAGGCAAAAACATTTGTTGGTACATTGAAAATGTTTCAAAAATTGTTTCAACAATTTCCAATAACATCTTTGAGGCTGTATTTTGACCTCTACTCCTCAAGATAATTACTTATATCCTGATCTCCAAGACCTTGGTCGTGCAGAAGGATCCATGCAGGGAGATTATAAGATAATATGGAGTGCCACTAAAGTTATTGGAGTTCCACAGGGACACAGGGTGTGTCTGCATTGTCTGAAGCCATAGAATCTAAACCTACATTGCATAGATGGATGGCTGAGCCCATGTTCTTCGTGACTTTGTATGGGCACAAGCAGCCCACATAGTTGATGTGAAGTAAAAAGGTCAGGAAGGATTTAGTTTGAAAATCAAGTGGTATATTCTGAACTGGGGAATCAAAGTGAAGAACGAGATAGGAATAAACATGTAACTAAATAGCCCTATCTAGGATTAGGGTAAAAAACTAAACTTAGTAAAACCAACACAGAAAATATGATATCTTGCTCAGTGCCAAATTGGCATACATTTGCTAAAAGTCAATAGTACATGAGGTGAGTTACCCTGTTAACTGGACATCACCCCACTAGTTCTTTTGAAAATGTCTTAATAATCTTTATTTATGATTAAATTCAAGATATTTTGCAGAGTCTGAATGGCCTATTTGTATTAATGGAAATAATATGCCAACTGCAATTAGTTACTTACTGTGAGCACATCTACACTACATGGAAAATCAACACTGCCATGGTCGATCTTTTGGGATTTGATTTAGAGGGTGTAGTATAGACCCGCTAGACTGACTTCAAAGGGGCCTCCATCAGTGACAGTATTCCTGCTTCTCGTGAGTAGTAAGGGACACTGACAGGAGCATTTGTTCCTGTCAGCCTCCTGCTGTGTGGATAGCACGGAAATGTTATTTAAGGTATGTCAACTCCAGCTATATAATCTACGTAACTGGAGTAGCATATCTTACTTCTACTTTCCCCTGTAGAGTAGACTAGGCCTATGACTGGGTTTCTTGGAATTCATATTGTGTCTTCTTTTCACTATAAAGAAAAAGTGTAGAGACACTTAACAAACCCATTACTTTAGAAAAGAAAATGTTTCTTAATTAATATAAATTAATATCAGTTCATCCTTGCCACTAAGAAAATACTTTTCAGTTTAGCTCATCGAGCCTTTCTAAGGGACATCTGTAGAAACGATTGCCAATAGATACTGCTGTTATAAATGAGATTTTTTTTACATATTCTCATTATCTGTGTGTTTCAGGGAGGGTCAACAATCACCAGAACAGTGGCAGAAAATGTACGGCAGATGCTCTGGTAATGAAGTATATCACATAAATCTGGAGGACAGTACATTTTTTCCTGAAAATTGCTTCTTTCCATGCACATAAAAAGTATGTTTCTTATTGGAGGATTGTAAGTTCAAATGAATCTTTATGTACATTGTGTCCCTAGACTAAATATTTTACTGTACTGTTCCATGGTGTCATTGCCATCTTATGAAATGTTTTGCTTCTGATTTTCAATGGTTGCTGAATCTTGCAAAATTTATGGAAATTTTGTATTCTCCTGCCAGTTTTGAGTATCAATTTAAAACTATTTTTGGTCTGGATGTACCAGCCTAACCTTAAGGCAAAAGCAGATTAGTTCTAAGTAGTCTGGTAGCAAAAGTGAATAGCACATGTGGTCAGAAGTTACCAGAGGTGTCCTGACAAGTATCTTGCTCTGTCCACTGACGGTAACTGTGCATGTGTTCCCCCTGAATGTTGCACTGGTTCTGCACAGGTAGCCAGCATAGCAGACTCTGAGAGAACCCACAAAAGCCACAAAATCAGATAAGGAACTAGGGCATCATGCCAGCTTTATTGTCAAGGACATACAGCCTTAGTATCCAGCAGACCCTACCAGACCACTAACGCATGTATGCTTGTGGTAATGGACTAGCTCAGTCAGCAGCAGGACTTTCCGCTGCCCTGTAAGCTAGACAAGGACAGCTCCCCTAGGATACCTTTTTATACACAGGTAAATAACAAGTTACACACTACTGGTGATGTATCAGGTTACCGCCCTCTGTCGTACCTAGCTACCACCTTGCACAAAGTGCTTCAGTCAAAACATTGCTATCTACAACTCGGTCATCCTAGATCCTATCCTGAGCCTGGGTCAATATATGCCTGAGAGTGTGTTAGTAACAAGATGTCTCCTAATGAGGTGTGATGTTACCTTCCTTCTGGAATGTGCTTACAGACCACTTAGTATCACTTAGGATCAGTGTTTCTGCAATATCAGACTTCTTCTTGACAAGCTGCATGAGCCAGACTTGCCTCCAGCTCATGGCTTAGCTTTGCTTTATATTAGTACTGACCATTGGCCAGGCCTCAGAACTCAGACCAGGCCTGTGTCTTATGTGTTAGGCCCTCATCTTACTACATCACAATCGGGAGATCAACATCTTGATGTGGGAGTGGTCAAAACTAGATATTCAATACATCCTTTCCCTAGCCAATATGACTTGAAGGCTTTCCCCCTGGATATAATCCGAAGAATAATTAAAATATCTTCTCTGTAGGATCTGGATCTTGCTTAGCTGTCAAAAGCTAAATATATATTTGGCGAATCATCAGCAAAATTCATGTGGCTATGATGTGGCGGTGGCAGTGCACAGAATGGATGCTTGCAAATCTTCCTCTGTCAAGAAGGATTATGGGAAGATTTAGGTTTTTTTAAATTACTCAAAATTGCATTTGTCAACCTCATTTGTCATAAGCATTGTACTCTACTTCCTTCAACCTCAGCCTGACAAGATTTCTATAAAAGCATATCTTTCTCCTTTGTGACTCCACCATGGAAGTCATCTTGTTGTCTATTGGTGCAAGGTTGTAATTTCCCAGGATCTTTTAAGTATCTCCTCATTTCTGACAAAATTCAAGCAATGAATATTAAGAATATACCATAGATTTGCATACTAAAAAAAGTTTAGCATACTCTCCTCAGTTGTTTTTAAATGTCAGGTTTATGATTCATGTGACAGGATTGTCATCACTACCGCACTGAACACTTGGATCTTATAACACGTATATAGTTGTCATGTAGACATCCCATCAAACAGTCCTTTTAAAATGCTGAAATGTCACTGATGCAAGGCCAATCCGATGTGGAAGTTCTTCAGTTATTGAATCTCCTTCTGTAAACCAATTACCCAGCTAAAATGAATTACTCATTCAGTGCCATTGTCATCTTCATAGAGCATTGGCAAGTTATTGGTTTGTTTTAAAGGAGGCATGAATAGTTTTGTTTTTTGTTTTTTTTACCCAAGTCTTAAGTCTCATAGATTTTACAGGGTTTTATGACACTTCCAGCATTAGCTGTAGTTGGTCATTGTCTCTCCCCATAAGTAAATATTATCTTCATAGTTGTTGTTGTTTGTCCATCGTATTTGAAGAGGACCTTGACATCTAACGGGTTGTGGACTGTCCACGGTGTGTCCGCAAATGGCTGATAAGGCCGATACGGGCACGGAATGTTCTGCCACATGTCGGGCAGACATGTGTGGGCACCACTGTTGCAGCTTTTACAACTCTGGCTTTACGGAGTGCTTGCTTCTCTTGTGCTATGGTTGACCATCTGACTTCAGATGTTTGACAGCCTTGGTAGATCAGCGTGTGCCATGTTGATCGGTCTTGTGCCAGGGTCTCCCAGGAGGTGGTGTCAATATCCAGGGACTTGAGAGAGGCTTTAAGCGTATCTTTGTATCGCTTCTTTTGTCCCCCGTGCGATCGCTTCCCTTGAAACAGCTCACCATAGAAGAGCTGTTTAGGGATGCGATGATCTGGCATCCTTGCAACATGGCCTGCCCAGCGTGTCTGAGCTTTCATCAGCAGGGTGTAAACTGACGGCAGACCTGCTCTAGAAAGGACTTGTGTCTGGCACCTTATCCTGCCACCGGATCCTCAGAAGTCTGCGGAGGCAAATCGTGTGGAAGTGGTTCAGTTGCCTAGCGTGCCTCCTGTATACAGTCCAAGTCTCACTGGCATACATCAGGGTAGTTAACACTACTGCTCGATAGACTTTAAGCTTTGTAGCAAGGCTTATTCCACGGCGGTCCCACACTTTGGTCAGCAGTCTGCCGAATGCAGAGCTTGCCTGGGCGACTCTGCAGTTGACCTCGATGTCAATTGTCACTGAGCGGGAGAGGGTGCTGCCAAGATATGTAAATTGGTCCACAGGCATTCATGTGGTACTGTTGACGTTGGTTTTGTAAGGTACTTATGTGCCAGAAACACTAGAGACTCATATGTCCTTTCATGCTTCAACTACTATGCCAAAGGACATGTGTCCGTGCTGATGATGGGTTCTGTTTGATAATAATCCAAAGCAGTGCAGACTGATTCACATTCATTTTCATCATCTGTGTCAGATGACACCAGCAGAAGGTTTTTTTTTTCCTTTGGTGATCCATGTTGTATAGTTTCCAAATAAGAGTGTTGCTCTTCTAAGACTTCTCAAAGCATGCTCCACACCTTGTCCCTCACAGATTTTGAATGGCACTTCAGATTTTTGAGCCTTGGTAGAGTGCTGTAGCTCTCTTTAGAAATGTCACATTGGTGCCTTCTTTGTATTTTATCAAATCGGTCGTGAAAGCATTCTTAAAATGAACATGTGCTGGATCATCACCTGAGGTTACTGTAACATGAAATATATGGCAGAATGTGGGTAAAAGTGAGAAGGACACATACAATTCTCCCTTAAGGAGTTCAGCCACATAGAATCATAGAGATGGAAGAGACCTCAGGAGATCATCATGTCCAGCCCCCTGCCCAAGGCAGGACTAATCCCAACTAAATCAACCCAGCCAGGGCTTTGTCAAGCCGAGACTTAAAAACCTCTAGGGATGGAGATTCCACCACATCCCTAGGTAACTCATTCCAGTGCTTCACCACCCTCCTAGTGAAATAGTTCTTCCTAATATCCAACCTAGACCTCTCCCACTGTAACTTGAGACCATTGCTCCTTGTTCTGCCATCCGTCACTACTGTGAGCAGCCTTTCTCCATCCTCTTTGGAACCTCCCTTCAGGAAGTTGAAGGCGTCTATCAACCTCCCCTCCCACTCTTCTCTTCTGAAGACTAAACAAACCCAAATCCCTCAGTCTCTCCTCATAGGTCATGCGCTCCAACCCCCTAATCATTTTGGTTGCCCTCAGCTGGACCCTCGCCAGTGCATCCACATCCTTTCTATAGTGGGGGAACGGGCCAGAACTGGGAACAATACCCCAGATGTTCCCAAATAAAGGGGAATAATCCAAAGCCAAATAAAGGGGAATAATCACTTCTCTGGATCTGCTGGCAATGCTCCTCCTAATGCAACCTAATATGCCATTAGTCTTCTTGGCTACCCGGGCACACTGTTGACTCATATCCAGGTTCTCATCCACAGTAATTCCCAGGTCCTTTTCTGCAGAACTGCTACTTAGCCATTTGGTCCCCAGCCTGTAACAATGCTTGGGATTCTTCCGTCCCAGGTGCAGGACTCTACACTTGTCCTTGTTGAACCTCATCAGATTTCTTTTGGCCCAATCCTCTAATCTGTCCAGGTCACTCTGGACCCTATCCCTGCCCTCAAGAGTATCTACCTCTCCCCCTAGCTTAGTGTCATCTGCAAACTTGCTGAGGGTGCAATCCATGCCCTCATCCAGGTCATTAATAAAGATGTTGAACAAAACCGGTCCTAGAACAAATCCTTCGGGAACTCCACTAGAAACCGACCGCCAACCTGACATCGAGCCATTGATCACTACCCGTTGGACCCGACAGTCTAGCCAGCTTTCTCTCCCTTTCTATCCATCTTACAGTCCATTTATCCAATCCATATTCCCTTAACTTGCTGGCAAGAATATTGTGGGAGACCATATCAAAACATTTGCTAAAGTCAAGATATATCACATCCACTGACTTTCCCATATCCACAGAGCCAGTTATCTCATCATAGAAGCTAATCAGATTGCTCAGGCACAACTTGTCCTTCATGAATCTATGTTGACTATTCCTGATCACTTTCCCCACTTTCAAGTGCTTCAAAATGGATTCCTTGAGGATTCCCTCCATGACTTTTCTGGGGACTGAGGTAAGGTTGATTGGTCTGTAGTTCCCTGATTATCCTTCTTCCCTTTTTTAAAGATGGGCACTACATTTGCCTTTTTCCAATCATTTGGGATCTCTCCCGATCTCCATGAGTTTTCAAGGATAAGGGCCAAAGGCTCTGCAATGACAATTGCCAACTCCCTCCGTACCCTCGGATGCATTAAATCTGGGCCCATGGATTTGTGTATGCTTAGCTTTTCTAAATAGTTCCTAACTTGTTCTTTCCCCACCAAGGGCTGTCCACCTCCTTCCCATACTGCATTGCCTAGTGAATTTGTCTGGGAGCTGACCTCTTCCGTCAATACAGAGGCAAAGAAAGCATTTTATTTAATTTATGTATATTTTTAAAGAGCATCATCAGCATGGAAGCATGTCCTTTAGAATGGTGGCCAAAATATGAAGAGGCTTATAAATGTTTAGCTTATCTGGCACTAAATACCATGCAACACTGACTACAAAAGTGCCATGCGAACAGTTGTTCTCACTTTCTAATGATATTTTAAATAAAAAGCAGACAGCACTATTGTCCATCAGTGGAAACAAACGTATTTGTTTTAGCAATTGGCAGAACAAGAAGTAGAGCTGCATAGACTTTTAGGCACTAAAGTTTTACATTGTTTTGCTAACATGACAGTGCAGTTATGTAAGAAAAAAATCTACATTTGGAAGTTACACTTGCACAGTAAAAAGGCTGCACTTCAATACTTGTATGAAGTGATTTGCAAAATATATGGTTTATCATTTTGCAGTGCATACATTTATTAAATTTATAAAATATAGAGTATACACTTTGTAGTCTGTGTTGTAATTAAAATAAATATTGAAAATGTGAAAAAATAACGACAAATATTTAAAAAAAACCTCTGTTGGTATTCTATTGTTTTACAGTGTGATTATTTATGATGAATTCAAAAAATTGTGATTAAAAATATTAACCACATGAGCTAACTGCAGTTAATTGACAGCTCTAAATTTCATACTTCCTATGGTCACCTCAGTCTGCTTTATAGCCTATTGGCACATTGTTAATTTACATGAGAACACGTTCCTGGCAAATCCATGATTCTGTTGAAAATCTAACCATTACCCCGTACTAAGCTAAATGTGTTGCTTTTAGTTTTGATTATCAGATTCCAGAGCAAGATTAGTGCTGCTTGATTCCTATACATCCTGAATGAGTTTAGTCAAGAATCAACATTCTGGCTGGAAAACCCAACGTTGTCCCATCAGTCCCAAAATGGCAGTTCTTGCGCTGACCCTATGTAGTTATTGCAAATAGTTTATGTGTGGAAGCAAATTTCATTAGACACTCATCATCTGATTTCTCTTCTGATCTGTATGCTCCTAGTACCAGTTCAAATTCAGTTCTATCATGGCCAATTCTCATGTTCCTATCTACTAACAAGAGACTATGAAGTGGGAGTGACATCCTACATACAATGCTGTTTAACGTGGCATAAAAAGCATCTTTTTCAACATCAGGTTTTGCATGAGCTAGAGCATATGCACTAATAATTACTACATTCTTCCTTAAGTTGAAAGTGGTGGCTACCAAGCATGGAGAGCAAGCCTGCCAAGCCAGTTTGCACCCTGAGGGTATGTCTACACAGCAGCGTTATTTCAGAATAACTGACGTTATTCCTAAATAATATAGTCCGCATCTACACTACAAGCAGTTATTTCATCATAATGGCAAAATAATGTCTAGTTGGAGGACTTCTTACTCCAACTCCTGTAACCCTCATTTTATGAGGAGTAAGGGAATTAGGAGGAAGATTGCTCTTTCATGGACTTCCTGCTGTGTAGACAGCACCAACAGATGAAATAAGCTATTTTGATTTAAGCTACGCAATTGATGTAGCTCATCTATTAATCTATTGATGATCAAACATTCTATGGTCCCATCCTCAGAAATTAGGGTCTGATTCATTAGACAGTGTAAGCTCATTTGTTTACATCTTAGGCTATATTTTCAGATCCCCTTAACTCCGGATATGTCCTGACATATTTTGAACATATTCATTTGAACAAGCTTATGGTGAGTGTGGACCCACAAATGCTAGTTTCATGTATATTAGCTTCATTCTGTTTTTTAAGTGGTTTCTAATAAAATGAATCAATTGACAGTTTATCAATAGATTACTAGGATTTTAAAATAACGTAAGAGCATTGTACAAATTTTTAATTCCTTATTTTCCACTACTGATCAAAAAGATTAAGATTAAATTATTGGGCAAAAATCTGAAAACAATTCCATTGAATAATGGAACAGTTTAGTTTGATAATTAGCAGAGTTCTATATTTCTATTGTATTCTTATGAGTGATTATGTCAGAAATTAACTTGCCCAACATTAGAAGACATTAGTAGAAAAACAAGTTTTTTGAACGCTTTGAGGTTCATAGATGGTCTGGTTTGGGATAATTTCATTTATTGTATTTTCAAATATTTGTTTTCCTAGAATGTTCATGTGTTGATTCTACAGCTCATGAGACTAGATTAAGAGTCCCTTATTGTAATCTGCAATTTGCATTCTGTTGAGTCATTAAATAAGCCATCTAATTTCCTTCTTTAATTAAGGTTTGGAGTCTGTTTGATTGGTGTTAGGAGGGAAGATAACAAAAACATTCTGCTGAATCCAGGCCCGCGATATATTATGAGCTCTACAGATATTTGTTTTTATATCAACATCACCAAAGAAGAAAATTCAGCTTTTAAAAAACAAGAACAGCATAGAAAAAATAATGAATGCAAGTCATTTTATCATGGACCGTCTAGGTTGCCCTTGCATAGTGTAATTGCCAGTATGGGTAAGTACAGGTAAATCTCAAAATATTCTGATACTATGGGGAAAAAAGATCAGAAATATATTATACTAAAAATATAAATCTATTTTAAAATGCCCTATGACAATGTTTTTCAAATTGGTTCACAGATCAACTCTGAGAAACTTGCTAACTGGATGATTAGGTTTGTTTATTTACCGGCTCCACAGCCATGGAGCCTTGTGGCTCCCATTGGCTCCAGTTTCCAGTTTGCAGCCAAGGGGAGCCTCAGGAAGCAGTGTGGCCTGGGATTAGAATGGGATCACAGAAGTATCAGAAACCACATGGACCATAGACTCCCTTTGCTGAGTGTAGCTTGACAGACATCAGGCCTGTGGACAAACACTTAAAGTGCTTAGTCACAAAAGGCTGTAGTGTCTTGCTGTCTATAATTCATAATCAAAGACATATGTTTAATTGATACATTTCATGGTAATCTAGCTAAAATACACCCAAAGTCTAAAATATCTCATGCAGTGAATTCCTATTGTTTATTTGAATATCACAAACTAATTCACAACAAAGTGGCCAAATATTAGATGCTATCAGCCCCATCAGGTGTATTCCCCCTTTCCTGTACAAGTACCTGTTACTGGTATAAATTAGGAAGTAATACTCCAATGTCCAGATCACTAGACAATCTTTTATCCCATCAAACAACTCATTGGACTACATTTTGTTTCCAGAAACATAATGTAACAGAACCAAGAAGAACAAACACATTAAAAGTCAAGGTGTCAAAATCTGATCTCACTTAAACAGTTGGGAATCTTACACATTATCCTAGTTAATATCAGATTGATTAAGTAAAATTTTGTATTCATTAAGGATATATAGCAGCATCCATAAATTCAATATAACCTGCTGTTTATTTGCAAATATTCTCAAAGCTGATTTGCATGTGCTATATTTTTAAATGCTATAGGTTGGTAAGTTTTTGGAAAAAAATAATTTATTACCATGTTAATGAGAAATTGACTTGTATATTATTGTAGAATGATGTAAGGCTCTACTGGATGTAGCTTAAACATTTATTATATTTTCATAACATTTTGATACATGGTTGTGTTTTTGATCATCCATAATAAGCATAATATACCCCCTTTATAATTCTGACTGGACTTGCATGTTGAGAGTTGCTTCTGATGCTGTTTTAGGGACCGTGGCTATAGATTTACAAGATACAGGATACAGATCTTCCGCTGGACCTACTTTAACCCTTCCTTCAGAGGGACGTAAAGATGGCAGAAGATCTAGCATAGCACCTGTTTTGGAGGTGGCAGACTCCTCATCGCTTCAGACATGTGATCTTCTAAGTGACCAGTCAGAGGATGAAACCACTCCCTCAGATGATGACATTTCAATGACTTCAGAGTACGTAAAGTCAATGTGAACAGGACATTACTATGTGTAGATGTTAATACTGGGTAAATGTTAAGTGTGGTTCTGCTCCCATTGAAATGATTGGAAACTGGATTTCAACTCTTTTTCTGATTAAAGACATCTCATTTAATAAGAAACAGAAGTGGACCTGATTTATGTGTGATCATATCACATAATCTGTAGTGAAAAGACAGAAGGCCCAATGACAGAGTGATTTCCTCTATTTTGAAATAAGAAATAGTCCAACTCCTGCAGGACATTTGTGACATTCAATAACAAAGGCCTGGCTGTGTTTAGAAGTGAAAAGCTATTTCATAAACACTCAAGTAAATCCACATAACGGGTATGGGTCTAAAGAGACTAAAGAGAGAACAGGGTCCAAAGGTCTGTTACCAGGAGTCAGAAAACTAGAAGGTCAGAATCAGAAAGCAGGGATAATGAGAGCAGGAGTCCATAGCGGTGTGGAGTATAGTTGAATGGACAACTTCCAGTTTCTTCCTCTGACTTAAACAGGAGCAGCAGAACAATCAGGAGCTTTGGCACTCTCCCAGTCAGAACACAGTTTTGGGGCTTGTGCCTTTGTTTTGGCTTTTAGGGTTCTGTCCCAGATGTTGTTTATGATATGCTGAATGGAAAATTAGAGCATTAGGTACTCCCATGCCCCCAGCCTTGAGCTGCTACAAAATCTGTAGTGGAAAATCATGGATTAAACTGCCAAAAAGAGAAATTTCTTCCTAAACTTCAGTCAGTTTGTTTACGTCTTAAAGTATGAGGATTTATAGCTCATCTATTCTCCTGTCAAAATAACTGTTGATATTCTCATCCATATAAATATCTAGTTGGATTCAGAAAAGAATTAAACTGTTAGAATCAATACTTTTTTAATTCAATCTAGGTTGCTATTACAAATTGTATCAATTGTATTAGATTTTTCTGATGATTAGCAATAGGATCAGCCTAACTTTTAAGTGTTATGTATCAGTTAGAAATATCTTGAACATCATCCATCTACTTTCTACAATGAAAATCCATGCTTGAGCCATTAGACGGCACGAAATTGAATGACACTTAAAGTTGTTCAATTGAGAAATGTATTACCCTAATAAACAAACATGTGATCCTATAACAATGTCACCACTTATTATATTTACTGAATTGTGTGTATATATGTATATACACACACACATAGTGTTATGATTATTGTTTATATGAGAAAACTAATTGAATCTATTTTGTTTAATTTAATATTTAGTTATGCATGATTTTATACATATTAATACTTGTCTCTCTTTGCTATGCCACAAATAGTAATAATAAAAAAATAGTTAGACTTGTTTGTTTTGCAGTTGCTAAATTGCTGACAGTTTTCAGAACTGTTTCTCTACTCTTCTAGGTATGCTAAAGGTTATCCTCCTTACTCTCCTTATATTGGAAGTTCTCCCACATTTTGCCATCTGCTGCATGAAAAAGTGCCATTTTGTTGTTTAAGATTGGACAAGGTAAAAAGTTTTTGTTACTGTAAAGACCCATGTGTTAAACAAGGCTTGTTTATTTGTTGTGTTCAAACACAATTTTGTCCTTGTCTGCATTTGCAGATAAGTAGCATTCAGCACCCATTCAGCTACAACCAGTGCTTTTTTTGTTAAAAAAAAAAAAAAAAAAAAAAAAAGTGCTGGTACTCCAGGGGAAATGTCGTTGAGCTCTGACTGGCGGTGCTAGTACTACGTCTGGAGATGCTAGTACTGCGTACCAGGCAATACCGTCACAAAAAAAGCACTGGGCCGCCTACAACCCATGCTGACACGTAGAATTGCTGACAGATGTTTGTGAAGCTCAGACAAAACTAAGTTCAACTCACACATTTTAGCTTGGGAAGTGAAAAACCACTTTGAATCTTGTTATCCCTGAGTATTGACTTCTGTCCAAAGCCACTGAAGTTTTGTTTTCTATACTGGTTTAAGGGATGCCAACATAACTACTATGAAGATGCCAAAGCCTATGGATTCAAAAATAAATTGATTATAGTTGCAGCAGAGACAGCTGGAAATGGCTTATACAACTTTATTGTTCCACTCAGAGCTTATTATAGACCAAAGAAAGAACTTAATCCTATTGTATTGCTTCTGGATAACCCGTAAGTGGATTTAAAATTTTTTTACTATACAAATAAGTGTTTAAATCACAATATGTGCTTTGTCTGTGGCTGATGGTCACAAGAAATATGACTAATTTAAATAAAATTATGGCACAAACATCTTTAAGAGTGGAGACAAGGATGATATTAAATGTGTGTTGTGCAGTAAGGACCTAAAATAACTCTCAGTGACATCAATGGGAGTCCTTCTAACTACCACAGGTTTACAAGGAAAAGTAGAGGAAATCAGAGTACTAATTAGGTTGTAAAATCATTTACAAGTCTGAAATTTTTGGAGACAAATTGTAATTTAAATATTTCAAATAACATGTGCCTTAATTGCTGTATGTTTCAGATGTATATTGAATTATTCAGTTCCCTGTCTGCATCCGTCTTTTTCCCAGCTTGCTTAGCATCAAGGGGAACACTTTTTTATTCACACTGCTGTCCTGCATGATAGGAGTGAGTTTGTCCTTTCAAGACAATGTCTCAGAGCTAAGCCTATGCAGGTTTCTGAACAAGTCTGTGCATGGTTTGCACTATAAATAGTAAGTATAGGACTATTTGACTTGTCTATCTATTAAGTGCAGAAGACAGATAGCCTATACTTTACTATCTATACGCATATTACTAACTAAGCATATTGTTTGACTACTGCTTATTTCAGAGCTGATCCATTCCAGAAACTAGAAATGTCCTTTGGGAAGTGTCCCTGTTCACTGATTGCCTTATAAAACCACAGAAGAACAAACATTTATTAATGCATGTACGGCTCAATTGTACAATTAAGCTGCAGTCCTGATTTAAGAAAAATATAGATCCTCATCAGTTCAGGAACAGTTATAAGAGGAATTGTAACATGTGCCATGGCCTCTTCATTCCCCATGCTCTTTGGTGAAACTAGAAGGA